GCAATTTTACTTTTATGTCTTAAAAATAAAAAAAATCTGCACTAGGTTGGGCGCCCTTCTGTTCTTTTTGTACACCACATATGTAGATAAGTGCCTAGTTCTCCACACCCCTTCCAGCAAATATTCGACCTGGATGAATGCATTTTATGTATCCTCTCCGGATTATAGTACCATCTGGCCAGAAAGCGAAACATCTTATCTGTTACTAAGGCACTCATTGACGAGGTAGAGTTGGCTCGTAAGATTTGCTGTTTGCGGTGTGTCGTCCAGGTAACTTGAAGCTCTCGTTCTCATTGTGCCAGGTACGTAGGAAACTCCTGGGAGCTGAGATTGAGGAGAATCGTGTATAATTGGGAGATGCCATGTTTCGGAGCGACCTCCATGGTGCATAAAGCTTCCATGCTTCCATGGGAGTAAGTTCTGTAACTGGCCGCAACGGTTTCGGAAGGCTAAGTATAAAGTGTTGTAGTTGCCTATATCTCCATGAATCAAATGGGAATGTCCCCCACTGATTCCTTAGATGTTGTAAAGAACAAAATTGTAAAGAACAAAATTGTGTTCCATTTTGGACCTGGAACAGTCTCAGTGTGAGGAGTGTGGTCCAACGTAAAAAAACGCTATTATACATCCCCGGTGGGAAATAGTGGTGACCAGTTAAGGGCATCAGTGGTGAATTATACTGGCCAATCAGATCCACATACAGCTTATCCCAAATATTAAGAGTATGATCAGTCAGCGGGGATATCGCAGACTCCAATTGCCGTACGTTTCTCAACGCCTCTCGGAGAGCTTCCCTGGCAACCGTCAAAGCCATTAAGTCTGTCTCGGTCATAGTTCGTTTATGACGACTTTCTAAGGCCGCCACTTTCCCCGTTAATTCTATTATTTTAACATTAGCTTCTTTCTTCTTTCTAGTGCCATAGGAAATAAGGGCCCCCCTTATGGTCGCTTTGTGCGCCTCCCAAAGAATTCCTGGTGATACCTCTCCCCCAGAATTTTCAGAAAAGTAGTGGACAAGATATTTCTCTACAGCCGCGAGTATTTCCTTGTCTAGCAAGAGAGAATCATTCAATCTCCAAGTCTGGGGCGACCAAGAGTCCCTCAATAACTTAATTGATAATAATACACGTGCATGGTCTGATAGAGTAGAAGACAAAATTGAAGCTTTGTTTATTATATGTAGATGATGGTGTGCCACAAATATGTAGTCTATCCGTGTGTAGGTGTTGTGGGCGGGGGAGAAAACATTGTAACCATGCTCGCGGAATGCGTATACATTCGCCAGTGTCAGTGTTCGATTATCAATCTGTCCCTTCAGGAATAGATATCTTCCATCAGGATCTATTTCTGTGGATATATGAGTGAACTTAACATTTTTGTGGATACCAATTGCCACACCTCGAGAGCTACTTGATGGAGAAGTACTATAAAACCATGCCGGATAATACAGCGAGTTCAGGCGCACTCCAGTGCGGTGGGAGAGATGAGTCTCCTGTACAAAGACCACATCGCAGTGGAGCCGCCTCAGCTCACTGAGAAACTGATGTCGCTTCGGAGGTGTATTTAGCCCCCGAATATTGTAAGTTAGTATATTTAGGTCAGTCATTTACATGAGTTGTCGCCCATTGTGCGCTCACACTGTTACAAAGGGGAAAGGGGAGGGTCCAAGATAAATTAAAAAAAAGGAGGAATTTAAACAAGAATACAAAGGGAAGGAAAAAAAATACAAAAAAAACAGAACCGGTACAGTAATTGTTTACCATCACATAATTTATGCGCATACCTATACTTAAATCTTCCTTAATCTGTGGTTCCTTGGAACCAATTTCACAAATTGAGGGGGACATGGCAATTCCCAATATCGGCAGACCCCCCCCACACCCAGCCCAAGCATCCCGTCCCCTATCCAAGAAGGGGTCGAGGCGTCAGGGAGCTCCCCTGTCCCCCCTCTGCAATCTTTGAAAGCATCTGCACTTTTGCCCTGAATACAGGTCCGAAAGTGCAGTTTGCATATGTAGCTGAGAAAGAAAACAAAACGACTATAAGGGAAAAAACACGCAAATACAGTTGACTTGTAAATTATCCCACTATTGCCCCTTTTCCCATATTTCTACTAACAGTCATTTATAGCACCATTGTTAACTATACCACTGGGAGATTAAATAACTAATTTGGAGAAAAAGCATTCTCACCAACTCCTGACCGCATATTTAACGTTCACCTAAGTCCACCAGTCTGTTGTGAAGTAGTTAGGTTTACTGTCGGAGCCCAGGGAGTGTCCAGGACCGGATCCATACTCGGTATCCCCTCCTGCCAATCAGGCAATGCTGGGACTGGAACTTCTAGGGTTTGGCAAAATTGATCAAGATCCTCAGGAAATCGAAGAGTCGCCATTCTTCCGGGCCAAGAGACAAGAGGGGAACCCCCATCTGTAAGCTATGCCCGCTTTCTTCAAATTTTCCAGCAGTGGGCACAGTTCCCTGCATCTCCTCAAGGTTTCCCTGGCCAGGTCTGGAAATATCTGTATCTGCATACCTTCAATCTCCTGTAGTGGTTGTTCTCTTAATCTCCTCCAAGATGTTTTCCTTATCGGTATAATAATGGAGACGGCATATGACATCCCTAGGTGTCTCTAACATAAGACCCCGCGGGCGCATTGCCCTGTGTGCCCGATCGAACAGCAGCGGGGTTGTAGGTGCCTGTCCCAGTATGGCATTAAAGATCTTCCTGAGTATAGTGATCAGGTCTGCGTCCGGCGTAGTTTCCTGGAGGCCTCTTATTCGAAGATTGTTTCTGCGGCCCCTATTATCTTGGTCCTCCACACGGTAAGAGATAGCTCTTTGAGAGTGAGACAGCGATTGCACTTGGGTTTGTAGAGCCGACGATGCCCTTGCTTGTAGATCCAGGCGCTGTTCGTTCTCTTCCACACGGTGGATCAGGTGTGTAACCTCCCCTCCTGAGAGACAAAATATCCGACTTGAGAGATTGCTCCACGCGGGTAAGCATAGCTGTCAATTAATTTCTAGTGGGGAGTGCTCTAAGCATTTCGTCCACCGGGGACAGTGAGTGCCGTTCTCGGGTCTCGTTCAAATCAGGGCAGGTAGTCATCACCTCTGCTCGATCGTGTGTGGATGGCCCAGATAGCGAGTCCGCCCGTGTAGGAGAGCCTCGCAGTCGCTCTTTAGCTCCGTTGCCAGGAAGCGTGTAATCACTCCCTTATTCGGCGTCTTCGAGGAGCCCGAGCCGGAACGCCCTGTGCCTTTTCTCATGGCCGACAGCTGGTGAGTCTACAGAGCTGGCGTTAGTAGTATGTAGTGGGGTAGTGGACGGGATGTCCTGTCTGCAGAGGGGGAGACCCGACCCGGAGCTCAGCCTAGGTGCGTCCTGCCGCCATGAGATCTAGGACACGCCCCCCTTGATGGATTCATAACACGGTTTCTCAGGCTATGCCATTAAGGGGCGTGAGCCTCCTTTTTTCTGTTACGGCCCATTCTACAAGGGCTGTTGGGGCATCTTGGGCTTTTCGTCTTGGTGCCTCGGCTTCTCAGGTTTGTAAGGCCACTACTTGGTCTTCTGTTCATATCTTTCCCAAGTTCTATAAGGTGGATGTTTTGGCATCTGCGGATGCTGGTCTGGGGCGCAAGGTGTTGCAGGCAGCCCTTTGAGGGTGTTTTTCTGTTGGGGTATAGTTTTTTTTTTGTGCCCGCCCCTCTGCCTGGTACTGCTTTGTGACGTCCCTACGGTACATGATCCTCGATCTGTCTCCTGTGTCCTTCAATGAACGGAAGAGAAAATAGGATTTTTGTACTCGCCATAAAATCATTTTCTCTCCGTTTATTGAAGGACAAAAGTCCCGTCCTCTATGTTTGGGTGTGTACTCCTAACTGCTTGTTACTTACTGGAGACTTGTCAGCAGGTGGGGGGTTTGGCCACCAGCAGGGGCCACCCCTAGGCTGTAACTTGTCTTTAGTTTTGTGCCTAGCGTCCTTCTCCTGCAGGTGGCGATATTACCCTACGGTACATGATCCTAGCTCTGTCTCCTGTGTCCTTCAATGAACGGAGAGAAAAGGATTCTACGGTGAGTACAAAAATCCTATTTATTTTTTTTTTAGTCCCCAAGTGCATAACTTTACATTTATCAACATTAAACCTAATTTGCCAAATAGATGACCAATCACACAGTGCATTCAGATCTGCTTTGTAAGTTGGAGACATTGTTTAAGGACTGTATTCCACTGCTTAACTTGGTGTCATCTGCAAACACAGAAATTGTACTTTTTTATCTCCAACTCCTATATAATTTATAAATAGGTTAAACATTAAGGGACCCAACACTGAACCTTGGGGGACACCACTAACAACCTCAGACCATTCAGATTATGAATCATTGATCACCACTCTCTGAATACGGTCTTTAAGCCAGTTTTCTATCCAATTACAGATTGAATGCTCTTTACCTACTGACCATAACTTATACATTAGCTGCCTGTGGGGAACTGTGTGAAACGCTTTTGCAAAGTCCAAGTATACTATATCCACAGCCATTCCTCTGTCCAATTGTATTACTTAACTTCCTCAAAAAAAGAAAGTAGGTTTGTTTGACAACTTCTGTCTTTTGTGAATCCGTGCTATCGCTTATATTTTCAACCAAAAACAATTGCATGTGATCCTTGATCAAACTGTCAAGTATCTTTCCAACTATTGAAGTTAAACTTACAGGTCTGTAATTATTTGGCAAAGACTTTAATTCTTTTTAAATATAGGCACTCTCTAATGACAGGCTTTGTGCAAATCCATCGGTACCAAGCCAATCATTAGAGAGTCTCTAAAAATTAGATACAATGGCTTTGAATTTACACAGCTCAATTCTTTGAGGACACGTGGGTGTAAACCATCCGGTTCAGGTGCTATGTTCACCTTAATTTTGTCTGTTTCTGTTTGTTATATGCTTTGTGCTGTTTGTAAATAAAATGTTTAATATTGTGTTTTCCTGTAACCAGGTGATTTTGAAAAGGGAGTGGATCATTTAACAAATGCTATTGCAGTTTGCGGACAACCTCAACAGCTTCTTCAAGTTTTACAGCAGACCCTACCACCACAAGTTTTCCAGATGCTTTTGACTAAATTACCAACGATCAGCCAGGTAATACACTCTTTAATTTCACTGTGTTAACTGGGTATGACAAATATAAAAATGTTTTTTTCCTAATTTAGCATCATTCTAGAAATTACATAGGAAGCAATAGCTTGATAGATTGGCATAGTAGCCACTATAAAGCTGGTCATATACAGCAAAACCTAATATAATGCAAAATTGTGAAAGATTTAATTGTTGCAGTTCAAGGTGTACAGATGAGTGAGAGGACCATGACTCTTGGTGTAAACAAAAAAAGAATCTAAAAGCGAGTATATGAGTGTTAAAGTAAGCTTGGCTAATCATCTTAAATGCTTATGTGCACAATGGTACATTGACCACAGTCTTGAGTATTAAAAAAATTAATGTCTGAAATTTCAAAACATTTTGGCAGATTTCCAGCTCTTTTATGCTGATTGTGCAGCAGGAAGCCATTGCAGCTCATTTGACATTTGTCCAGTTACTAGTTTTGTGCTGACTCCCACACTTCACTTCAGGAACTTAGTCTGCCTCCTCTGACCCTGCACATTTCACTTTGCTCTTAGAGATTTGCCCAGAAACATCAGTAGCAGAATATGTTGGTTTTCAGTATGGAAAACTTGACAGTGTCCTAACTCTTCCTTCACCCAAGCCCTTAATTGTATTCCTAAATTAACACTGGCAGGAGTAACAAGTATTTGATTGTACTTTTCAAAGATCTATAACAGAAACGTTTTTAATGGTATATTTAAGAGAACAAATAAGAGAAGTGCATTGTTAGTGTTTACATACACTAATCCTCTAAATCAAACTAGCATGTAAAACAACTTGTCTCACCACTAAGGACAATGACAGAGGTTTGGATACACGTCTTCTGCAAAGGATGTGTAAGCCGCACTGCCGCGCCAAGGCACCTCTTATAGTGCGGTCCTAACTCTAAACTATGAGAGTCTCCATCTTGGAGCACATGGGGCAGAAGATATCAAATTGGGTGCAGGCTTGTCAGGAGGACGCCCCACCTCCTTAAAGGTACAGAAACACACAAGGGATCCCGCACATCCCAGAGGTTTGGATACACGTCTTCTGCAAAGGATGTGTAATCGGTAAAGCAAAACAAACGACAAACGCACTCAACAATTTGTTACCAGTTGTACAGTAAGGTGCACACGAAATGGGCTTTGAACAGTAGAACAGTAGAAAGGCATCATGGCACACTCACAAACTAGCATGTAAAACAACTTGTCTCACCACTAAGGACAATGACAGAGGTTTGGATACACGTCTTCTGCAAAGGATGTGTAAGCCGCACTGCCGCGCCAAGGCACCTCTTATAGTGCGGTCCTAACTCTAAACTATGAGAGTCTCCATCTTGGAGCACATGGGGCAGAAGATATCAAATTGGGTGCAGGCTTGTCAGGAGGACGCCCCACCTCCTTAAAGGTACAGAAACACACAAGGGATCCCGCACATCCCATTGGCAGCTGAGAAACCCCATGCGTCGCTGCACCAAATCGGTAAAGCAAAACAAACGACAAACGCACTCAACAATTTGTTACCAGTTGTACAGTAAGGTGCACACGAAATGGGCTTTGAACAGTAGAACAGTAGAAAGGCATCATGGCACACTCACAAACTAGCATGTAAAACAACTTGTCTCACCACTAAGGACAATGACAGAGGTTTGGATACACGTCTTCTGCAAAGGATGTGTAAGCCGCACTGCCGCTACTTTAAGGAGGTGGGGCGTCCTCCTGACAAGCCTGCACCCAATTTGATATCTTCTGCCCCATGTGCTCCAAGATGGAGACTCTCATAGTTTAGAGTTAGGACCGCACTATAAGAGGTGCCTTGGCGCGGCAGTGCGGCTTACACATCCTTTGCAGAAGACGTGTATCCAAACCTCTGTCATTGTCCTTAGTGGTGAGACAAGTTGTTTTACATGCTAGTTTGTGAGTGTGCCATGATGCCTTTCTACTGTTCTACTGTTCAAAGCCCATTTCGTGTGCACCTTACTGTACAACTGGTAACAAATTGTTGAGTGCGTTTGTCGTTTGTTTTGATTAGAACGCAGGCCCCGTCCTCTATGGGGCTACGCGGCCGTACGCCCCCCTACGCTCACCTCATTTGCAGGTCCGTAGGGGTGCGGGTGATCGTATCCTTACACGCCGCCGGAATGGAACATGCATGCGTCCTCCGACCAGAAAACCCGCACCCCTACGGACCTGCAAATGAGGTGAGCGTAGGGGGGCGTACGGCCGCGTAGCCCCATAGAGAAGGACGGGGGCTGCGTTCTAATCACACGCAGCACCTGTCCTTCCCGGCAGCTACTTGGTACGGCCCTGCACGGAACACGGAGCTGTACGTGCAGGCTGATTATTCAGTGGGCCACGGTAAAATTATCAAACGTTGACTGGTCCGCGGCGATAAAAAGGTTGGGGAGCACTGCTCTAAAGCAGTGATTCTCAACCTGTGTAATCTCGTGACCCACATTTGTCCTTGGTCATTAAGTTGCGACCCAAGTCGCAATGCAATGGAACGCACAGCATTGCGGTACCGCGCGTTCCGGTGCGGGCGATTAAACTGTGGGTGGGAGGTGCGTTAGAGGTGCCATTCAAAAGATCCACCCGTCTCCATACCTTACGAGAACTGGAGTGGATCCTCAACGTGGGGGCTGCTGTGCTGTGATGGAGCTTCATCCACATGTACATTGCTTGTACAGCTCCCTTTGCATTCCCTGTAGAGGTACTGGGAGCCAGAATGTGATGTCACTCTGGTCCAGGAACCTTTACAGGACATGTGAGGGAGCTGTACGTATAGATGTAGCTTGCTCATGCCCATCCCATCCCATCCCACCTCGAGCTGACACTCGGCAACCGGCATTAATTTTGAATGGCTGTTTGGCACAAGAACTGACAGTGCTGCGCTAGGGGGAGGCTGAGGAGCCTCTCACCTAGAAAAGTGGAAGGCACGCTGTCACGAACCACCAGTTGAGAACCAAGGCTCTAAAGTATACCTCTAGGGTTAACCCATACCCTTTACCAAGTTAACACCATTCTAAAGCATGCTTACCTGTGTTGAAATTGGCACAGAAACTCTCACTTAATACTGGGGTTTTGGATTGCTGTAAGAACGGTTGAGTTCTTAGAGTAGGATCACTACTATAATTTACTCTTACTGACTCTTTTTGTATTAACCAAGCACCTGATAAGTAGAAGGGTCACCCTTTTGCCCAGAGAACAGCTGTAGGCATTCTGGAAACAGGTGTAAAATACCACTATAAACTATCTGCAAGTAGAGCCTCCAGTTCTCTAAATGATAGAGGTGGGAGAAATCTACCTTGCATTCAGAGTCCTGAAAATTCTTGTAAATGTTCATTTATGTTCACATCTGTTAATTGGGAGGACATGAAAGGCAAATTTGTCTTGTGCTTATGAAACCATTTGTTTAGCAATCGTGATTCACAAACTGCATTGAAGGTTAATTCTCCTGATTATATGTGTGCAAATTTGTTCAGTCTGCAAAGAAGCATGACATTCATGAATCATGATTTCCTGGATTCCTACATTGTGAGACCGATATTAAGATATACTGTATTTAGGAGAATCAAGAAGTGATAAAATGGCAATTCTCTTTTTTTTTCATAGTTGCTATCTAGAAGTAGTATTATGGTGGCATTATCCTTAAATATGCACTAAAGGGTGCACCTGGTGGTAAAAAATGCCTCATATACCTTGGCTGTTTTATAAGCAGACAAACTTTGATCCATTGGCCTCTACAAGACAGCTGCCCATAGAAGTTTCCAGCCATTAAAACTGGATTAAGCAAACTTAAACAGAAGTGAAGTTGCTGCCTATTGCAACCAAAGTTAATGATGAAACCTAAATGGTTGTTATTGGGCATAACTCCACTCTTTGTTTTTCTCTCTTTGACTTTCTGCAAATATAATTATCTCAAGATGCAAGAATTGGGGTAAAGGGTGACTCATCAAATCGTACAACTTTTTCCCCATTGCTCGGTTCTACACAGTTTTTCTCGATTTTAGATCTACAAGTCCCTCTGCAGTGATGGGTCCTGTAGTTTTTCGATTTACAGATCCTGTGGGTGGAGCCACACGCAGCTGCACCTATGTAATAGCTAAACAGGAGCATGTGGGTAGAAGAACCCTGCAATTATCAGGGCTCAAAATTTCAAGTCCTGAGCTACTAGCCAGGCCTTAAAAGTTAATAGCCACCAGTTGCCCCACTTAACCCTTACCCTGCCCCGGCCCTAACTCCGCCCCTAAACGCACCCTCTTAAATCTTATAATATCGTATGATATCTGCTGGTGCGACCGCTTCTACTGTAAGGTCGCACGACTTTTGTCTTCCAAGCACGCTGGAAAACCAGACTAAAATCGTACGACGGCATTGGCTTTCCAGAAAAACAAAGAATGTAATAAAAGATGTAAACATGTAATTCAGGCAGCTAACATTGAGTGCGAAAAGCATATTGCCACAGTCAGTAAGAGTAACCCCCAGAAATTCTATCAATACATAACAGGGGTGTGGAATTCCTATCGCCCGACGCACGGGACATGCAGTTTCGGGCGCCGGGCGAGTAGTTTTTTTGTACACTTAGCCCCGCTCCGGACAAGCAGAGCTAAGTGTACAGTGTGGAGCCGCCGCTCGTTTTCAAGTGATCTGATCATTTATCAGATCACTTGAATGAAACGAGAAGCGATTCTGTCCACACCGCCCCCCCCCCGTGGTTTTCGGGATCCCCCTCTTCTCTGGCGGACCCAAGACCACGGAACATGAGCTCACCATAGAGCCCGCAGAGCAGACGAAAAACTTCCGTTTTTCGTCTGCTCTGTGTTATCACTGAGACCGTGGCGCTGTGATCACAGCGCTACCTGTCTCAGCTGTCAGGAACTACACAGAACATCAGTTCTGTGTTGGAGGGCAGGTTCCATAAAGAGAACCTGTCACCTCCAAACTATCACTTAGAGGATTTTAAATCCCAATGTGATAGGAATAAAATTAGGTGGGGGT